ACGCAGCGTCTATGAACTTCTGTGCGATTAGACTGTTGACATAGCTATGGAAAAACTGTTATCCTTTTACACTAGATAGCTCATGAAAAGCAGCAGGGATGTATGGTTTGCTTTGGACAAGACAATCTTACGACGGAGTCTTTTGCAATGGAAATTATGCAAGGTGCATGGTCGTCAGATGGAGCATGACCAGACTTGATAACGTAGGCTTAACGATTCAGTGAGGGTCCAAAATCGTTTTAATGTAACATACTCAACCTGTGTTCACGCTAGAAGTGGTTTCAGATACAAATCTCTAAAAGGCAACTTTAATACAAGCTTCTAACGATGTTGTGAAAAATATATAGACTGAAATGTTTTTGCCTATTTTCGTAGCAAATTTCGTTCATACAAAATTTGAGTTTTTCGTGTAAAACAATGTACAAGCATTAGCGTCAGTCGCCGTCACGTCGGTAACTAAACTAACAATCAGGAATGAAATAATTACAGATACACAGCATGAATGACCGTTTTTCTGATTTATTTAGAGAAATTATCTTATCACCAGAAACACCTTTATATTTACTGAATTCTAGATATTATATTTGAGGCGCCATAGATTGTCGCAAAATTTTCTCTTTATAAAAGCATATCTTTGATTTGGGACCATTCAGGGGCGTCTACCCAGTGTTATCATTACGTTTATCTACCGGATGTTTTAAATAACGATGTTAATGCGTCACAAAACACCAGGTTAGTGAGCTGTTCTTCTAAAAGAAGTAAGTACTGTTCGTCTAAAAGTAGATGTAGAAGTTAAGACACACACACACAGTAAAAATGCGACGGTATTCTATTGTTAATGCCACAATACAATAAGGGCTAAGTTTTTTTAAGTGTGGTGATATGGTAGTTAATGTCGTGAAAGTTACACGAGTGTTAAGTTCGGTAGTTAATGTCATGAAATAACGAATGTTAAGTTTTTAAGTGTGGTGATATATTAGTTAATGTCGTGAAAGTTTGGTAGTTAATATCGTGAAATAACGAATGTTAAGTTTTTAAGTGTGGTGATATATTAGTTAATGTCGTGAAAGTTACACGAGTGTTAAGTTCGGTAGTTAATGTCATGAAATAACGAATGTTAAGTTTTTAAGTGTGGTGATATATTAGTTAATGTCGTGAAAACACGAGTGTTAAGTTTTTTAGTGTGGTGGTATGCTAGTTGATGTTGCGAAATAACAAGCGTTAAGTTTTTAAATGTGGTAATATATTAGTTAATGCCGCGAATGTTAAGTTTTTAAGTGTGGTGGTATGTTGTAAAAACACGAGCGTTAAGTGTGATGATGCACTAATAAAAGATCCCATCAGTGAAAGTAAAGGAGAATATGTTATAATATCTCAACCAAATTATATCTCCCAAATCTAGTGCCGACAAGGCCTTCAGTCCGATAGTACGTTACATATGTATGTATATGTATATTACTTAAGTAACTTACAAATCAGACCTTTAGCGTAAGATTTAACAACATTATGTTTAATGTAACCACAAAAGGAAAGTTAAGTGTGATGGTATATATGCCATGGTTATTGTCACAAGGAAACGAGTTCAGAAAGTTAAAACTCCTGAAAATCTTTCACTGTGTTATATTTTTGTATTTCACGAAGACTGAAACATTGCACTTGACGTTTCGAATGTAAGAAATGTTTGTAATATTCTACTGTCCCGTTTTGTGCAAACGTTTGTCACTCGCTGGTATTACTAGCCCTAATTATCACTGAACGTCATTAGATAAAGTAGTCATCAAACATAAGTAGATATAATCAGCCAACAAACATTGTTTCATATGATCAAATACACTAGACTAAGAAAGAATCGAAAGCTAATCTACGCAATGAGCTAGTAGCTTTGTGCGACCTGTTCGAACCCCGGATTTTGGTGTTGTAATTCAGTAAACTTACCGCTGACCCATGGGGGGAGCAAAAGTTTGATTTGATGTTTGTTTGTTTTAGCTCAAAGCTACTCAGTGGGCTATCTGCGCTCTGCTCACCATAGGGAATCGAACCCTGGATTTTTGGTGTTGTAAGTCCGTGAAGTTATTGCTGGCCCACTGGGGGACAATAATCGAAACAAATGTAAGAACCTTTTTGTTTTTTGACAGGTCCACAAATTCGTTTAATATATCTCAGAGTGACGAACAGTAAATAACATTTGCTTCAATGATATTATTTAAGAGAATCGTGTATGTATTTATATACGCACAAACACACGGAAATTAAAAAAAAAGGACTTTCGTTAATTGGCACATGTTAAAGGCTTACGATTGATATATAAAAGCTCAAGTGGGATTTCTTTGTTAAAAGTTTATTTACAAACCTTAGCTTAATTATGCCGCAGTCGCACATACTTAGGCATTTCAAAACAATTCGCCCGGCATGGCCAGGTGGTTAGGGCGCTCGACTCGTAAGCTGTGGGTCGCGGGTTCGAATACCCGTCATACCAAACATGCTCGCCCTTTCCGCCGTGGGGGCGTTATAATGTGACGGTCAATCCTACTATTCGTTGGTAAAAGAGTAGCCCAAGAGTTGGCGGTGGGTGGTGATGACTAGCTGCCCGCCCTCTAGTCTTACACTGCTAAATTAGGCGACGGCTAGCGCAGATAGCCCTCGTGTAGCTTTGCGCGAAATTCAAAACAAACAAACAAAACAAAATCAAAACAATTTTACAACACACTATTCTCAACATTCCTGGCCATTATCCGCAAAATCGGTAGGTGTAATTCCATTTATTAATTATCTTTTTTTAGTAGGACAATTTGCATTGGGTGTTCAGAAAGACATGAGATTTTATTTTCTATAGGTCAACTGTATCAGATTACAATCAATAAATGTATACCGGTGGTGTTGACGATATGGATAACCAGATTCCCCCTTTTTAATGCAGTCTATGTTCACGTCATTCATCAGTAAAAGTGTTTTCACAACCACAGTGGTTTTGTTTGTTGATTGTTAAACTTAAAGCTACCAAATGGGCTGTCTGTTTTCTGCCTACCGCGGGTATCTAAACCAGATTTTTAGCATCGAAAGCTCTCAGAATTACTGTTGAGCCACAAGGGGAGGCAGCATAATGGGATTATGAAATATTGAATAGGGCTGAAATATGGAAGTCACAGAGGGCTGCAGGTCAGGGCTGAATGCCGGACTGAGAAGTGGCGTCCATTATTAGGATGCAGAAGACTGTTGAATATTAGCAACAAACGGATACTGAACTACTAACATAATAATTTGACAGCAGTGATTGTCATATCCAATGTACATGGGAGAGAGAAAAAATATCCCGTTTCCTTACGAACATCCCTCGAAATTGGTTTCATCTTGTCGTGTTAATGTCTTCCAAGGAGAATCGTTTTAAAAGCAAAAGTAAAGTTCTTTAGACATAAGATTAACTGGAACAGTTAATGTGACACATTACTTACGAATAAAAAGTGGTCCCGATAATAACAGCTCAAATATTATAATAAGTGAGGAGTTTGGTGACATTACCCGGTGAAAAGGGTTGTCCCTGCTACGTAGTAATATTTCAAATACGCAAACGTGTTTAAAAATCGAATTAGGGGATTTTTGGAGAAAAACGCTAACCATTAAATCACTGGTATAGAAATACACCATAGGTTTCTTTTATTTCTGTGGTATTGATGTTGATTCTAAATTCATTTCTTTGTTCTGAACATGTGCAGGTTTTTCAAATAACAAGTGGTCAAGAAAGCCGTTAAATTGATCTTGTTTCAAGTTACCTTCACTTATTTGTCATTTTCATTATCACCTTTGTCATTATGTGATACTTCCTAGTGCTCGCTACATGCGATCTTGTGTAAGGTTATGGTAATGTTCCTCCCCGGTTGTACAAGTGACATCTAGAAATCACAGCCCCACCAATGTGGAATGAGAATGACCAGTCACGTGGTATCATAGCCGCCCTTGGTAAATATGAGATAGAATCCCTCCATTTATTTAGTCTGATTGACCTGTTCTTGACTCTCTGAACTGAAGCAAGTACACATAGTGTGCTTTTAAATGTTTAATAAGGACTGTGTTCTTAGTGTATTACACTTTATGTTCAGCCCAGTTATACCTAAAGTTAAACTCAGCAGGTGTACATTCAGCACTGTTTCGTAATACCTTATCTTGCCGAATTTCCTGTTTGTCAGACTTATACAATATGTTTCCAAGGCATTTTCAGTTCACCTGAGTAATATTACCAGGCCCTGCATGACCAGGTGGCTAGGAAGTTCGATCCATAATCTGTGGGTCGCGGGTTCGAATACCCGTCATACCAAACATGCTCGCCCTTTCCGCCGTGGGGGCGTTATAATGTGACGGTCAATCCTACTATTCGTTAGTAAAAGAGTAGCCCAAGAGTTGGCGGTGGGGACGTTATAATGTGACAGTCTATCCCACTATTCGTTAGTAAAAGAATAGCCCAAGAGTTGGCGGTGGGGAATGATAACTAGCTGCCTTCCCTCTAGTCTCACACTGCTAAATTAGGGACGGCTAGCACAGATAGCCCTCGTATAGCTTTGCGCGAAATTCAAAACAAACAAACAGTAATATTACCACACATTCACGGTATATGATTATTCATTGATATACATTATCACTTTGATAATTTATTTTACTCTAAACCAGGAACAAGACTGTTATTTTTATAAGTTAAGTTAAATTTTTCGTAATAACAATTATTAATAAAGGAAATGAATATTTATGGCTTATCTGTTTACGACCACAATAACTTAAAAATAAAAATTCTGGGGTTTGCTAATGATTAAGTAAAATTGATAGCCAAAAATAGCGTCACCTTTTTGAGACTTGAAACATGATACTCGCAAAATATTCATTAATGCAAACTCGATACTATTCTACTTTGAATTCAAATTTCACTAGAATTATGGTTTAGAATATTCCCAGCAGCAGTAAAGTATTTGTATACATTTATATGTATTAAGTACTATCTTGTCGTATGTTTCTAGGTGCTTAGATACAGTCGAGAAAGATGAAACTGACATTTTGTTTGCTGCTTTCCATCATTCTATGTACCGGCATTTTGGCCAAAAAAGTAAGTTTTGTAAAATATAAACCGGCTTTCGAAAACTGAAAATTTTGTTTTTACTGTGAGTGCACTGAAATGTAATTTTTATTATTTTCTTTGTTAACTGTATCACGTACGTTTATAGTATTACCTTGCTGTATAAAACAATTAAACAGGTTATCTCTAAAGGTAAATTACGTTTAATATAATCTAGCTTGGGGATAAAGAAAAAATGTTTTAAAAAAATGTAACCAAGAATTGTATTTAAGTCCCTATGAATGTCGATGAATTGTAACCAAGCGATGTATTTAAGTCCCTATGAATGTCGATGAATTGTAACCAAGCGTTGTATTTAAGTCCCTATGAATGTCGATGAATTGTAACCAAGCGTTGTATTTAAGTCCCTATGAATGTCGATGAATTGTAACCAAGCGTTGTATTTAAGTCCCTATGAATGTCGATGAATTGTAACCAAGCGTTGTATCTAAGTCCCTATGAATGTCGATGAATTGTAACCAAGCGATGTATTTAAGTCCCTATGAATTTCGATGAATTGGCCATGCCGGGCCAATACACCTGATTCTAAACGTTAGTATTTCTTTAAAATCATTTTGTATTTATGGCCAACTGCTAATGTTATCTGTCGCCGTCCCTAATTTTGAACTAGTGACCAGCCAATCAGCTGCACCCTACCACACCACACCACAATTCACACCAAGGAATGGAATTTCACTTTTTTGACACACACACAGCTTAAAGTGCATGGAATATATATATATATTGCAGTTGCACGGATTCGAACGCGGTTCGCCATCTCCGAAACAGATCTCTACCATAGGATTCATCTACACCATTTCAGAGATCGCTAGGTTTCAGGGTTCTTGAACAAGTGACCAGGGGTAAGACGACCAGCCAGCAGCACCCGCTCCAAAAGGAATTTAATTAAGACAAGATTAAATTCAGTGATAATGCTCCAGTACTTTGTACAGTAAAACAAAACAAATGATTTAACTTTAGTGAGGAGAAATTCTAAACCTCATAAAGCGCTTGTATACTTTATCAACTTGTTGTCCGGCTACTGCGGATAGCGATTTTTGATTTTTTTTAGGAATTGCCCTTTCTGTGTTTGTGACGCTAAGAATGTCTGTTTGTTTGTTTTAAAGCACAAAGCTACACAAAGGGCTATTTGTACTCGAAACCCGGTTTCTAGCGTTATAAGTCCGGAGATATACCGCTGTGCCACTGGGCAGATTCTTAACCAGATTCTTTAGGTTTTATACAATGTAGCTAAACAACTGAAAAATATTGATGACATTCCGAATCACTTTTATTTTTCCATATAATGGGAAAGTATTCCAGTCTGCTTCACACCTCATTCTTCATCACTTCGTATCACATGTTTAAAATATTATTATTTTTTAAAATTACTATGAGTGATGTGGTGATGATAAGATTAGAAGCTAAGAGTAGTTACTGGTATTACCAGCACCATGAAAGCGTTGAGAAGAAAACTCTTGAAGAGGAAGTTGTAAACTCTGATGAAAAGGACGAACTGGACTTGATCGCTGAGGACGAAGCTGAGGAAGATGACCAGGAGGAGAACTCTGTAAAGGATTACGAAGAACTAGATAGAGAAGGAGGAGGATATAGGGAAGGTAGAATGCCAACTTTTTAGTTAGATGTTCAAGATAAAAATTAGATATAGGGTATTAGTAAAGTTTAATTCTGCTTATGTTCTTTAACAGGTGAATTTTCGGGGTTAAAGATTTGGATTATAGGATTATTGTCTGCACGCACCCTGTCGAGTAATTATGTTTTAGTATGTTATAAGGGTTAAAAATGTGGATTATGGAATTATTGTCTGTGCGCACTCTATCGAATAATTATGTTTCAATATATTATAAGGGTTAAAGATTAGGATTATAGGATTATTGTCTGCATGCACTCTGTCGAATAATTATGTTTTAATATGTTATAAGGGTTACAGATTTGGATTATGGAATTATTGTCTGCGTGCGCTCAGTCGAGTAATTGTGTTTTAATATGTTATAAGGGTTAAAGTGTTGGATTATAGGATTATTGTCTGCACGCACTCTGTCGAGTAATTATGTTTTTATTAGGCTTCGCAAATAAAACTTGTTCGAAAAATTTTAACATATAATTTAGAAATGAGAAGCATTGAAAACGTTCTTGTCAAGTTTGTATTCAACTGTATACACCATTGGTGACTGCGTGCGAACATTACCGTATAGTGTCCAAGTGACTACAGCGTTACTACCATTACTTAGAACAGTACTGTGATGAAGACGTTTGAAATAGATTCTTCACTATGACAGCCACTCACAGTCCAGAACGAGCTAATACTGTAACAACGTGTAACCACTAAAGTATGTGTTCATAGCTCATTTTAAGTCAACGTTTGAAATAGATTCTTCACTATGACAGCCACTCACAGTCCAGAACGAGCTAATACTGTAACAACGTGTAACCACTAAAGTATGTGTTCATAGCTCATTTGAAGTCAACGTTTAAAATATATTAGAAGACCAGTTTCTAAGAGAAAAACAAAAATTCTAACGTAACTTTTTGATAGTTTTCCACAGTCTATTTCTCGATGTTAAAAGGTAAGAGAGCTATTTCTAATGAAGTTTTTTTTTCAGTTTCAAAAAGTGTAATTTCATAAACAAGCTACAATTCCTTCTCATTTAGTGATTCCCAGATATAAGAAAACTTATTTTAAGCTTACTGTCGTGTTACTGCCCTATTGTAACCTTTGTTATTGTAACGTTTTGTTTCGCTTTGCTGGAAATAACTTAGTTTTCAGATAAATCAAAATTAAGCAACAGCCCGAAAAAAATATGTTGGATTTTATGCATAATTTAAAACTCGATAAAAGAAGCCTGACCTTTCACCTTCTTCTCAGATTTACTTGTGTTTTCAAAATTATTTACAAATTTTAATGAACAATATTCGGTGCGATTTTGTAGTATGTTATAGAAACAACGAAAACAACCACACTTAACCCATACGTGTCTTTTTTTTTTTCTATTTCAGGGAAAAGCGTGCAGAAACGTGAGTAGTGTCAATTTTACATTCAGCTGTTGTGTTGCTGTTCCGCTAGACGTAAAACTTAAAGCAACAAGCACCAGAGCTGCTATACTTACAGCTTTAAGCCAGATGTTGCAACTAATGTCGGCAATAAGATCTATAGCTTTTGCTAATTCGGAAATGAATAAAAATAAACACTCGCAGTGCTTTTCGTGTTTGAGCTTTCTCAGTCTTAAAGAATTATATACGAATTATATAAGAATTATTATAGTCTTAAGAATTATATATACTAACACTAACTGACGCATCCATTCAACGCATGGGAAAGACATAGGAGAGCCTCGGGAGTTGACATAGTGTGTCAGATCCGAACGCTGACCCCCCTCACATTATGTCACTCCTCGGGGTGCGTAAGGGTGTTTGCCAGGTTTGGTGACAGTTGGTACAGCGGTTTTTGCCAGTTATAAGTGGACACACACACACTCACATACAGACGTTTGTTAACTAATGTTTATGTGTGTGTGTGTATATATATATAAACACGCACATACACTCTGTTTTTCATACTGTTTCGATTTTTTTTGTACTAAACTCCTAGGTCTAAGCAGAATGAAAAGTGGGTACCTAATGATGCTTTTACTAGCGAAACCATAGTGGTACTAAATGAAATATTTGTGAAACGTACATTTGTCTTTGTTTTCCTCAGTTCTCGAATGATGACGTGTTATCCATATAAGTAGAGTCGCGAGTTTGTCTGATTGACGTTACAATTGTTGTGAGGTGCTGGCTGAGTCAGTTCCGCTGAAATTTGGTAAAGAAACTCATATGGGCTCCTCAACGATCGAGTTGAAAGAAATAACGTATCGGACGATACCGCCTTAATACCGCGAATGAGGGCTAGACTGTTCTCAAAAGAGTGGTGTTCATTTTATCGGTTTTTATCATTCAATTTCCCACAAACTAAATATTCAACCACATTAGCTAATTATTAAATTAATTTTATCAATAACTCGCTTTTTTTTGCATAAAATGTCTTTTTATAACAGTCTGTTTTCATCTTATTCACAGTTTGATCCTGCTTTCTGTCTTTTTGTAACAGTCTGTATTCATCTTATTCACAGTTTGATCCTGCTTTCTGTCTTTTTGTAACAGTCTGTATTCATCTTATTCACAGTTTGATCCTGCTTTCTGTCTTTTTGTAACAGTCTGTTTTCATCTTATTCACAGTTTGATCCTGCTTTCTGTCTTTTTGTAACAGTCTGTTTTCATCTTATTCACAGTTTGATCCTGCTTTCTGTCTTTTTGTAACAGTCTGTTTTCGTCTTATTCACAGTTTGATCCTGCTTTCTTAATCTAACCCTTGTGGATTTTTCACAAGCCAATTTCTTTAACTCAATTTTTTGTCTTAGATTAGGAAAATTTGTTGATGTAAAATTTTTAATGTAAAAACAATTATATTCATATTTTACATTTTAATTGGATTTTTTTTTTTGCTAATTGATTAGTTTCAGAAGCTAATTGATTGAATATTTTTTAGTTTTTCTCTTTCTAAGTACAGTTTTTGTTGTTTTCCAGCGTTTAAAAAAGTAATTTCATTCCTAATATTTAAAATGTCAATTAGACTTAGTCTTCTACTGTAGGGCGTGAAAACCATATTTATGCAGATTGTATTCGGGAGATCTCCCCTTGCGGGAGCGTTAAAAATGTATTATGATAAATCGTTTCATTTACACTTGTGCTTAAATTTTAATGCTTATCAGCACTTTATCGCATGCAACCCTGGTATCATTAATCCATATCAGGCAGAACACACTTTGTCCGCGTATTGTATAGCGCCACCTATTTATTAGATTGAGGATGATTTCTGTATCTAAATACAAACTAGCTTAGGTCATGCCTGAGAATAGTTACTGTGGGAAAGTAAAGATAACTCATTCTTCAACACGCTGTTCATAGCAAATAAAAAAAAATGGTCAAAAGAGCATATTTGTTTAGTGAAAAATAATAATCGTCAGTTTATGTTGTTTAATTATAACTAGGGCTTCTGATTTTCGGTGTTTGTTAATTTAATTTTTTGTTATATATTTTTAGCTATCTTGGAGTTTTATGTCGATAACCTGAAGTCGGTTTTCCTCGGGCGTTTCGCATTTTAGATACAGTATGGAGTTATGTTATTCGGCTTTTTCCAAATTACTTCCATGCCAATTTCACTTTACCCCCCCCCCCCCCAGTAGTTGGGGTGTGCGTTTAATATATTCATAATAAATCAGTGCTAGATACAAGTCAGGAAGGAGGGAGATTGTACAATTAACTGCTCTGGGGAAGGGGTAAAGGTAACATTAATCGTGGAACCATTTCCAATGCTTTTCCAGATATACACTGATTTATTTATTTATCTTTGTATCAGGAGTAGTGTGTATCGGTCAAAATCGAAAACCAGAAGCCCCATTTATAATTTTGTCACAAAACATGGCTACAAGAAAATGAAATTCATGTATTAAAACGTATTCTTCTATTGAAACCTCATTCCCTGTTTTTCTTACGAATGCGTTGTATTTGAGTAATATTTCTGACCGATGGGCTTGTGTAGATAATTAATTACTAAATAAGGACATTACATAGGCCCCTTTCTACTTTAATTTTTTTATTGCATATCGATTGTCAGTGTGTGGAGTTTAATGTGTGGTTGGTACATCTTGCTCCACAGATCCTTGTGCTAAGCACCATTGTGGAGCTGGACGTGTTTGTGTTCTAGATGATAAAGGCAAACCTGCTTGTGAATGTATTACTGAGTGTTCAGCAGAGATAGATGAGCGTCGCAAGGTAAGACGTGAAATATTTATACTTGAGGAGACCGACTTCCAATCTTTGGACAATTTTGTATACGAAAAAAATGAGAGTACAAAATAAGGCCGAATGGCACATTTCAATTTGAACTTTTCAAAATATTTCAGTGATTAAAAAAACAAGGAAAACCAGACTTTAATTTTTAAATACATTCAAATTATTTTTCTGTAGAATATTCTCTCAATTGTTTTTTTTTCCACCACAGTGATAACATTTTAGATAGAATTAATTAAACGAGACATCAATTGTTTTTTTTACTTGCAAAATAATTTATTTGTAAAGTTTAAAAAATATATAAGTTAAAGAAAACTTTAAAAAACTATACATGTTTCGGTGGAATTATCTTGCAAGTAAAAACTTTTATGTCTCGTTTGATTAATTTTATTTACATTTTTTTTGCACAAGAACTGTTTGTTTTACGTATTGAATGATAACATTATTATGTTGTTTCTGGTTAACTTCATGGGATAAACGTCAACTTAGTCTTTAATAAGTAGAACAATCTCGGTAATCAATAAATGAAATTGAAACCTAATTTTAAGAATTACGTATTATATGATACTTTTTTGTTCATCTTCATCACTTTATTGATTAATGATTTTTTTTGGGGGGGGGGCTTATTTTTTAATAATGAAATTTTACCGCCATCTATAGGTGTGTAGCAACCACAACGAGACATGGAACAGCTATTGCGAGTTATACCGTATGAGATGTTGGTGTGATGATGGTCTTGATGAGTGTGCCAAGGACAAATACAAACACGTCCACGTTGATTATTATGGTTCTTGCAGAGGTAAGGAAGTGCTTGTTTTTTTCGTTTAATTGCATTTCAGCTGATACTGACAGTTACGTTTTGGACGAAAAATTTACAATATAATGCTAATCAGATTAATTATTGGTCAACCCAAGTCTGGTGATTAATACAACGAATCTACAGAGCATTCTCGAGTTTGGGTGATTAACACAACGAATCTACAGAGCATTCCCGAGTTTGGGTGATTAACACAACGAATCTACAGAGCAGTCCCGAGTTCGG